GCGGCGGCGGCGGCTGCCTCTCGGGGCCTCTGGGAGCGCAGCTCGGCTCTCGGCAGCGCCGCTCTCCCCGTAGCAAGCGGCCCGGCTGTCCCGAGGGGGCGGCGAGGGGGGGACCTGGTGCAGACCCCGCAGTTTTACCTTTCCTCCGTGACACCAGCGTTAAAACGCGGTTGCTTGGGCACTTTTCCTAAGACAGGCAACTCTGCGAGAGGGGAAACAACGCGACCGACTGGTGGAAAGACTTCAGTCGTCGAAAAGTCACAGGGGAAGAACAGGAGGAAGACAAAACGGCATAGAAATTTCCACTGGAGGGGTTGAGGACAGTATCTCTGCATACAGAAATCTGAAAAACTTCCGCAGCAGGTAGCAGAACACTGACCAAAGCTCGAAATCTCCCAGCACAGTCATGGTCTGGCATTTCCTATAAAGAAACAGCAGATACAAGATTAAAAAAAAAAAAAAGCCCCTTTTTGTGATGACAGAATGGTAGTAGGGTGTTTACACAACTGAGAACTGAAGAGTAAAAATAAAGGAAGCGTAACTGAACAGAGCATTATGACACTAGCAGGTAATTTTCTGTAACAGTTCCAGTAAGATGAATTTGCAAGAGACTCATTCATGTCTTTTTCTAAAACTGTTTCAAATTTCCTGTCATATGGGATGACATTTATCATATATAACAATACTATCTGTCAAATTTCAAACGTCTAGCTGCGGTGACAGCTAGTATAATAGAGCACCTACTGTAACATTTAACTTCACATAATTATAGACATAGAAATGTTTGCTGTTTCAGCAGCTGCACAAAAAAACCCCAAACAGGTTAAAAGCTCCTTTTAAAATTTTAAAATGGTTATCAGATCACTGATGTGTCATTTTAAGGAAGCTGCTGACATGGAGAAGACAAGGCTACAGGTTCAAAAATTGAGTCAACTCTGCAAATACTAAATTTGAAGAGTGATGGGGTGTGGGATTTAGAGTTTTATTGTACATAGGTAACTGTTTAATGTCACATAAGGAACCGAGCTCTTTATATGTACGTGTGGGTGGCTTTAACTGCAACTGCTTAAAGATTTACTTTCAGGGAGCAAGCTGGAGGTGCTCCCAGTTTGGGGACTTCAAGCAGGACTCCCCAAATGATGTTACATTGAATCTATTGTAACAGATTCTTGACTTTTTACCATACATTCTCCCAAGGCTAATTGTGCCACTCCACTCTGAGCCACGTGTCTGCCCTTTGCCCCTCTGTACCCTTCAGTATCCTTCCAATCTGGCAATATAAGCTGCTCTTTCCTCCCCTCCCAGGCCTCAAGGCGAACAGTTTCAGGCCCTCCCTTTCTGCTTGGCAAGCCTCACATTGCAATGAGGAGGAAGGGAGGAGGAGGAACAAAAAAGCAGGGTAAAATGCTTGTAATAGCAGAAAAAGAGGTGTAGCTGCCTTGAGCTGCCAGGCTCTTGCCGCTTGCTTTGTCCCTTTGAGTATAGTAGCAGCTCCCCCAGTTCTCCATTCTCAGCAATTCCTTTGCTTTTCAGAGAAAGAGATAAGAGGGAACTTTCCCCACCTACTTAGCTGCAATGATGGATAGTCCTTTCCCCAAGGGACATGAAGTAAGAACGTAACTAAAGGTTTCTTCCTAGGACTGAAATTCCTGAGGAACCGGTGCATTATCATCCGCACTCTGAGTCTGGCTTCAACCTGGGACCAAGATAACTCTCCGGAAGCAGAGGGAGGAGAGCAATGCTGCTCTCCTACTCCTACCCAAGCTAAACGCAGGCTTCAGCTTTGGTTCTCAGGCTGTGGCACATCCCAGTGGGACTGATCCTTATTCCAGCCCTTTTACCTGCTGCAGCAAACTTCCAAGATCCAAATCATCACCTCAAAAATAGTAGGAGTGATTAATTGAAACAAGGCACTCTGCAGACTCTTGGCTCTGGAGAGGGGGGAAGAAGGCTGCACGCAGATAAAGCTGTCCTCAACCAAGGGAAACTGCTTTCTTAAGGAGTCCCATCTATTATGGAGGTCAAAGTGCTAATAAAAGTGCTGCTGCCCCATTACCAGTGTTTATGAAAATAAACCTGATGGCACTGTTGACTTAAACAGCATAGGTGATACAGCAAATTTCTGGAGGTGGAACACAGTGACCCTGCAGC